ATAAGGAAATATTACTAGATCATTATTAATGTGAAGATAACTGCGGGACATTACAAACCCACCACTGATGTGTTTCAAAAAATTTTGGAACTGGTTCTACCGAATAGGTGCGAACTGGTAGGAACCCACCTCTGATCCTGCTGGAGCCTTTTCATTTTCCTCCTACATGTCTATACTTTGACAGCCCTTACTGGATCTAGCCAGACACCAATGAATCTCTCTTCTTAGAAAATAATTGCTTTAAAAAATAATGAAATCATACTCTTCAAGCTTTTTCTAATTATGTATAACTTTTTAGCATCATTTCTTCTTCACTGGGTCTTACAGTGATAATGGTCCAAAAGCAATTGACGGTCTTTTGATGGACATTTGTATCTTTTGTTGTTGTTGTTGTTTAGGAAGTATATGTGGGCAAGGAAACCTTGTGTACAATTGATGGTCTTCATTTCAATAGTACCTACAATGCAAGAGTGAAAGCCTTTAATTCATCCGGAGTAGGCCCTTATAGCAAGACGGTTGTTTTACAAACTTCTGATGGTGAGTCTTTAAAAAAACAGATACTTTCCCTTCCTAAAATTTCTTTATATTTGGGAACAGATGAACTTTAAGAAAACTGTATTTACTACAAAAGTAGTTTTGAGTTTTTAGATCAGGCTTCTGAAATTGAATGAGGAATAAATATCTGAATCATTTAACACCAACTCTCTTTAACATACAGTATATATGCTTCCTTCTTGAACAGCGACCTATACAATTAGGATATACTAGATTTTCCAGATTTTGTTGGTTTCCAGAATATTTCAGGATCAAAAACAATTCCTTTCCTAATAACTTTTGAGAGGACTCCCTTTCAGATAGAATTCAGATCCATCTGAACAAGCTTGATTCATTTGGGGATTATATATATATATCATAATGCACCAGTGGTTTTTGTCACTTTCCATGGCAGAATCTGTCAAGTTTTGAAAACATTTCAGGACATGCTAGATTTTCTGATGGATTCTGAGTAGATAGACAGACAGAAGACAGATGATAGATAGATAGATAGATAGATAGATAGATAGATAGATAGATAGATAGATAGATAGATAGATAGAT